ATATATATACATACATACATATATATACATATATATATATATATATATATATATTTATATGGAGAGCTTACGCTTGCTATTTGTCTATTTTTCTCGCTCTCTATTTCGTTCTTCTCTCAGTTCAATTTATCTCAGTTAGAGGAGCTTTCAGTGTATGTACTCAATTTGCTCGATTGGTGTTGTTCATTGTGCTCTTGCGCCTTGCGGTGTACTGTGTTAAACATGTGATTATTATTGTATTGTTTGTGTGGGCTTAGACTTGTGTGACACACCTACTCGTTCTTGGCATAACCATCGACTAGTTTTTTAACGCGAACTTAAATACTGTTACCGCGTATGCTGGCAATAGAATTTTGTTGTCGATTCTTGGCTGGTGTTTAATACTAAGCTCTGTATGCCGTGCTCTATGCTGCGCTCTATGCTGTGCACTCTGTGTGCTTGTTTGTTTTGTAATAATTTATATATATATATATATATATATGTATATCTGTATATGAGTAGTTGTGTTACGGTTTGTTTATCCTTGAAAGTCATGTGATAAAAGTCGCTCACGCGAGAAGCAAGAAAAACAAATAGAGAAAAACAAAATAACCAAAAAAAAGAAAAATAAATAAATAAATAAAAAAAAAAAGCGAAAAAAAGGAAGAAAAAAAAGAAACGAAATACGTGAGTATAACCAAGAGAAGAGAATGAGAACTTTGGTAGTTTTATTTATATATATATATAAATATATATATATATGTATATATATATCTATATGTATATACATATACATGTATATGGCATTTTCCGAATATTCGTATCGTTTTTGTATATATTGACCTCACATTGTCTGATGCTGCATTATGTGCTTTTAGTATGAAACAGGACTCATATTAAGACGGAACGAAAACGTGTTAACTGATAACGTGCGCCTTTATCATAACTGTTTGTTGTTATTGCCACTAATACTGCTGGGCTGCTGCTGACTGCTTTTATTATTCTCGTTATTGTTGTTATTTTCAGAGAAATTGAAACTGACACTATATGGCTGATGCTGATGCTGATGCAATTGCTATTGAATGGTGAAATTGTGCGTTGTGTCTTTTTTTGAATTTCAAAATCATTTAAAAAACAAAAAAAAACAAAACAAAAAAAAAAAATTAATAAATAAATGAATAAATAAAAACATATTGCGAAAAAAATTTAATTAAAAGTACTTTCACAACGACTAAAATCTCACACAAATGGTAAATAAATTTTGAATTTGAATTTTTCAAAATACTTGTGCATTGGAAAATGAAATGAAATGAAATGAAATTTTGTATCTAGTGCAATCATTAAGTTATGCAAAACTTCTAATGACTTAAGTCAAAAAGAAGATTTATAATAATAAAAAAAAAAAAAAAAAAAAAAAAAAAAAAAAAAAAAAAAAAAAAAAACAACAACAACAAACGAAAAGAAATAATAATTTTGCTCCGCAAAAGGTTTTCTTATGTAAGACTAAATCAAAAAATTGCGTTTCTGTGTCAAAGAGTCAGAAAGGAAGAAAAATCTAACAGTAACAACAAAGAATTGCTGCATATGTATGCATATACATGTCTATACTTATATATACATATATATATATATATATATGTACATGTATATATAGTGTATTATACATATATATATATATATATACCCATATGTGTATATAAATATATTTATGAAAACAAGGCAACGCAACGCAACGCAACGCAATCGAAGATGTAAATGTTTCGATTTGCATAAAACACATAACGCAACATCAATTGATTGTAGGCGATATAGATGACAATATTGGGCTAAATACGATCGCATTTATTGATAGTCAACAATATACATATGCAAGACATGAAACACACAAAGGCGAAGCCAGCAATTTCATTATTAAACTCTTAAGCTATCTTTCAACATAACATTGCCATATATGTACGCATCTAGATATGTAATATAAGTATACACCCATCGGAAAGCAATTTATGCGAATGTTACGTAAAATAAAATTATTATTAAAAAGAGATTTTTGGTTTCTTTATTCCGAAAATTTTTGTGTAAATGTACTTTACATTACAACAACAACAACAACAACAACAAAAATAACAACTAACTACATGCATCAATAACATACAAACATATGAGGAGCGTGAAAATTGTGAAACATAAACGCAAGATAACAAAGACTAAGAAAAAAAAGTCTGTATAACCAATGCTAGGAGCTTGTGCCTTAACACCCATCTTATTGAGGCAAAATTGAATTATAAGTAGACACTCGCCTATAAATGATTTTTTATTATTTTTTTATTTTTATTTTTTTTTATTAATATATTCTTACGCTTACACTTACTGCGGAGAAAATTGACTTTTAACTAACCTAAATTACCTTTTATCATATAGGCAAACGAATTAACTAATTAACTAAACGTCTGTGTTAGTTAGTTAAACGAGATCAATTCGCTTCTTTGCATATTTATTATCATATCATTGATAATGGCAGTGGTTAGCAATGATGTTGTGGTAATGATGGTGATGATAAAGACTTGGCATTGGCTTGCACGTGTATACATATAAACATGCACATGTACTCTAATGTCCATTTATATATATCTATATAGATATGCATATATTTCTCTGTATGCGTATATATATATATATATGTGCTTCTAATTATATGATTTTGTGAGAGCGAAGGCAACGACACATAAACTTTGAAGGAAGTAAAAAAGAAACAATAGTTGAAAGAAAGAAAAACGAAGTGTTTCACAGAATCTTATGTAAACCCTTTCTTAAAAACGTATATACATATATATACGCATATAAACGTATGTTATACATACTTATAAATATAGATATATGTAAATTCAATTATATTGTTTTGCTTTTTTTAAAAAATTTGTATGCGATTTTGTTCCCTACCTACTTACTAGCTAATCTCATATGAAGAAATTGAAAAATTAAAATTAAAAAACTTAAAAAGTTAATAAACAAATGCAAATAGAATCAAAGAAAGTAAGAAAACCATTTTCCATATAAGAAAAAAAAAAAACACGAAAAAAAAAAAAATAAAAAGAAAAACAAAATTGTGTTCGCTTGTGTGTGTGTGCGTGTGTTTTTGTATGCGTGCGTCTGTACATATTTGCCTATGTTAATGTGCGTGCATGCGTGCGTGCGTGTGTGTGTGTGTGTGTGTGTGTGTGTGTGTGTGTGTGCGTGCGTAGCTTCGCGTGCGTGTTTGTGTTCATAAGTTTGTATGTTTGCAGAGCCATTTGATGGTACATTTTATTGCTCTTTTTATGTATCGTACATGCATTCATACGCATTTATAAGCATGGTATAGTGTATGTACACATACGTTTATGTGTAAAATCACCAGCTGTATAATGTTTCGTTCTGTGTCGCTAGACATTCAATGCAAACGCAAACGAACTTTAAAAAACATTATTTATGTTCAATAAACGGGCAGCAAAAATTCACTTTTTATCCTATTACCCGTTTTTTTCTCTCTTTATTGGTTCTTTTTTTTTATTAGTTATCTTCTGGTATAAATGCAGCTACAACTAACTATAAGAACAGCAAATAATGTTTGCCTGAAATTAAAACGAAAACTGAAATTTATGTAAAAACAAA